TCCTCATGTGATAATCATAGAGGAATCAGCCTAACGAACATAGTCTCCAAAATCCTAGGCTCAGTAATCATGAACAGACTAAGCCGAACTCGGGAGGAACAAACGAGGGAAAATCAAGCGGGCTTTAGACCAGGTAGAGGGTGCATAGATCATATCTTCACTGTCCGACAGATCTGGAACATAGACACACTTTAGTTGTCCAACAATTGCCATATTTCTTGACTTGAAGGCGGCCTTCGACTCCGTGGATCGACAGGTTCTATGGCAATGTTTGACTATGAAGGGAGTGCCAAGAAAGTACATTGCACTAATCAAGGCACTCTACTCAAACTCACGTAGCTGTGTAAGGGCTTATGGGGAATTGTCATCTGAATTGATAACAACCAGTGGTGTCCGTCAGGGATGTCCACTTTCCCCTTTTCTGTTTAACTTCATCATAGATATGCTAATGGAAGTATCCTTAACTGAACTTAACGACTTAGGAATCGACTTGTTACCAGGGAATAGTGTTATAGACTTAGAATACGCAGACGACATAGTCCTGTTAGGGGAGGACGCTGACAAAATGCAGAGTCTTCTGAACACCTTGAGCAGCAATCTTCGTATGTTTGGCATGCGATTCGCCCCTGTGAAATGCAAGATGCTGCTACAGGACTGGACTACGTCAACTCCTAGCTTAGTGATAGGGAGTGAAGTGATAGAACATGTTGATCACTTCACCTATTTGGGAAGTTGTATCAGCACCAACGGATTGATTGGTGACGAAATCACAGCGCGGATCCAGAAAGCTCGGGCTGCTTTCGCTAACTTACACCGTCTCTGGCGTAGGCGTGACATCGGCTGTCAACCAAGGACGTGTATACAGCTCACACCTCGTCCGTCTTGTCTATGGCTCTGAAACATGGCCAATACGAGTTGAAGACATGAAAAGGTTGACTGTTTTTGATCATAGATGTCTACGATCTCTTTCTCACGTTAGTTGGTGGTATAATAAGGTAAGTAATGTTGACGTTAGGCGTAGAGTGTTGGGCAAAGAGGGAAAATCAATCGATGAGGCTATAAAGTTACATAGATTGAGATGGCTAGGTGACGTGCTGCACATGCCTAACCGTCGCCTCCCCCGACGGGCATTACTAGCTGATATAGGTGCAGGTGGTTGGAAAAGAGTAAGAGGTGGCCAAACAAAAACATGGCATCAATCCATGAAATCCTTGACAGTTAAACTGAGTCAGGTGGGGAGATGCAGACTTCCGGGTTGGGGCCACCCTCGAGACTCTAAGAATCAATGGCTGGAGACACTAGGTGACATGGCTCAAAATCGTTGTCAATGGCTTACGCAGATGTATTCAGTCTCTGTAATCTTTCATATTCCTTTCTACCATTACTCATTCTGTTTCACTCTTATACTTATCTAAATTCTATTGATTCTCTTCTCTCATTTTCTTGTCTACCTTTGTGTGGTATTTGGAACGTGGCAACTCGAACTGCTGCACTTCGGTGCCAAGTTCTATGTTGAATCCAGCAGCAGCAGCAGTAGGGAGGACTACATCATCTGCATATCTTCAGTCAACGAGACTATTATACCCTGGTAGCAAGTCAATCCCTGGGTCTCTGAAGTCAGTTAGGGTTAAGTTCATTAGTACATCTACGATGAAACTAAACAGAAATGTGGACAGTGGGCATCCCTGACGTACACCACTGGTTGTCACCACTTCAGATGACAACTCTCCATAGGCTATCACCTGGCTGGCTGCATGAGTTCGACTAGAGTGAGTGGCTTGATCAGTGCAATGTATTTTCTCGGCATTCCCTTCACAATCAAATATCGGCATAGTACCTATCGGTCGACGGAATCAAATGCCGCTTTCACGTCAAGAAGTACGACAATTGTTGGACGCCAACAGTAAGTATGCCTATGTTTCGTATGCTTGTAATGAACACTAAATTTACATAATGCTCATTAAGTGAATAAGTAACGAATAACAGAAAGCAGGCCAAAATCAACATACTGATAATCATACTTAGAATATGAAGAAATTAGTGGTCAGTTTCCGAAGTATTCCAGAAAAACACCGCAATCTCCTGCACTATCGAGAAGGCATCCAGTCTCAACAGACTGCACATTTAGACGGATACGATGATGAACTAATACATTTTACTTCCCAGTTGGAAAAAATCAAGTACTCCCTGCTGAATGACAACTGCAATAAGCTCACTAAGAACACAACTTGTTTACTTGTCAGAATACAATGATATCTGAAAGGATGACGAGGTTCACGCCTTACATGTCATCATAAACCCAAGATGACTCGACTCGTCCTTTTGTTAATACAATATGTCATATAAAAAATCCGTCTGCCAAGTTGCATCACACATCCAATCCTGTCAATCATATATGTAATACACACACTACTTGTGGTCAACCATTTATGTAGTGGATTAACGCATCGATCCCATAAAAACAGCATCAATGTGTCGTAAATTCTCCTGTTTGAATTCAACAGTGCAATGCCATTCGAGCCAAAAAGGCTACTAACAAACTATTCGTGATTGCAAATAATACCTGTAATCCCGTATATAAAATTAGTTATTACTCAAGGATCTCCTTAATAAGGGTTCCATTAGATTTAGCAGTAGTGGGAGGCATCACATATGACTTAGAATCAAGATTAATAGCCAGCAAGTTGGAATTCCACGCCTCCTTTTGTTTCTAAAAGTAATATTGAGTTCTGTGGGCTAATTTGACTACACTTGGCTAAAAAGTTATCATTCGCCTGCTCGTAAACTACAATAATCTTTTTTCCTTATTTATTGCTATATTATTTTGTGCGACACAGCTTTTAATGTTCATATTATACCAAGTTTGCCTTCAGAACATAGAAAAGGAGGCTGAAAATTCCGTCGAGACGAAAAAAAGTAATTCTCCAAACGAGTAGTCCACAAGGTTAAACAATTCAGCTAAGCGATAAATCCCCCCTCCAATAAACGGCCAAGGGTGGGTAGACTTCAGTCTTCGTCTCAAAACGCTCTCATCTAGCCAGGGGTTTATAGCCTCTACCAGGTAATTCTTACTAACTGCCTTCATGTGGCGGCAATATTCCTCACAGAAGTGAAAGGGCGAATGCAAACGTTTGACTGTCACAACCCGACCAGAGAACACACATATCTACGTTGTGGAGTTGGAAAATCCCGATTCCAAACCCATGGTTTACATGGGCTGCAGAGCCTGAAAAGATGGAATGCCTTATGAACCTCTTTCGGTCACTGTCAAGAATAGGGACCTAGCTCCTATGCCTTGTGGTTCAGACTTCAAAGTTAAGGGCCCGAAGGGTTGACCTCTTAAGACAACCTCCTATTTAGGCCTGGATGTCCTGGCAGTATCGCAGCATCCGCATGAACACAGGTGCTCTGTGCAGCGCATCTTGGTGCTTACAACGCACCAAGTGTATGCTTTTAAGAAAATAAAGGTGAAAAATAAATAAACGCACAATTACTACCCGAATGGGACCAATTTGCGAGACGAAATTCACACCCAAAACCCCTAAATAACGCCTACCGTTAAACGTTTGGAAAAAATAGAAACAACCCATGGAAGATTGATGCCAACTTAGCTGTGATGAGATAAATCACATGGTAAACACAATAAGTACTCAATTTACAATTTAGTTGCCAGCAGCACTCTACGATGATACAAATTCTAAGGTTTCTGAACTTCATATATGAACAGCAAGATCTATATAAGTCCATCAACTGCAATTCACATACTTCGTAATACATAGACTAAGGTAGATACTCACATTCTGTACAACTTGAGTAAGTATGTGGAATGGGCTGGTGAGATGTTCCCACTAAATAGTACGCAACTGTCATTCACTTGAGTTGTAAACTTCAGTGCTCGATATCACAACTGAAGCTGGGGAAAAGAAGTCCCATTAGTGTCCTGGATCTCAAAAGGACTGACCACTTTAGCACTCCGAAAGTGCATGAAAATATTTCTCCATAGTTTGTAGTTTACGCTAGGATGATGGGAATAGCTTCAACTGCTTTGTCATCCATGTTCCCAAAGGCAAGGACATTATGGTGGCATACACCTCTGGATTCGCCTGAGCACCACTGGGAGCTCCAATGCAAGTTACTAAGTGATACCAGACAGTATTGACAGCGATGGAATAACTGCCGCACAATCATAACGAGAATTTGTCAAACTGGACAACATTACTAAAACCGCAGTGAAATGTAGCAGGTACTAGTGGGCCTCGAGGCACTTGGTGTTGTTGACGCTATTGCGACGGGGGGTCGTTACTGATCCTCTTTAAAGTGATAGAATCACCTGCAAGTTAACAATTTGAACAAAAATGCTGGCTGAAAACAATTAGATCAAAGTTATTAGGATAACGCCAGACAGTCCACTTACAAGTGCCAGCAATCAAATGAGTGGATTTCAGACAAGTGGACTAAACTAGGTATCCTGAGATACTTACCTCGATGACACTGTCATTAATAGCCAAATATTAAAATCTTTTGGTGGAATCCTATAAAGTCAAACACCTGAGTGATGATGATTATAATCCAAATTGTGGGTAAGAAGTGAATTTGGTGCTCAGGATAGGGATGCAAAACATGACCCAACGTTTACGTAGTCAGATAACACAAAAACCTAATTGCCTGAGTAAGTAAAACTCCCCTGTGGCAAAAATAATAGCGACTTTTAGAGTCGAGAACAGTTTAAAAATCTCCTGGTAGGTGCATGAAGAATACTTCTCAGAATTCAGACTTAAGGCACGCGTATACTTTGTAAAAGGGGCTAGATTAATACACCTGATGAGAGATTTCATATCCAATACCTCAAGACTCTCCATTTATACATTCCAAATGGAAAACAATCTCCTCGACGCACATCATAGTGAGACAGCGAAACAGGCTAGTACTGGATCTTCAAAATTCATGACACAGTCGGTCAGAAGACGACAAACATGACGATAGTCAAAAATTAAAACACGTTCCAGTCCATTCATTTATTTGACAAATCACTCAGCTGATTCAACATTAATGATCTGCTTAAATTTGAAGTCAGTACAAGGGACGTAGGACACAAGTGTATAGAATTTATGAACACTGTCTGCATCCTTGTTGGCTTTCCTTGCAAGCCTTACACGGACACGATAAGGAACGTTCCTCACACCTTTTGACCATATAAACCTATAGATATAGAAGATAGAGCATATACACTTACTGATTCAGTCTCACACCAATCCGGACATCTTCTGTACCCATCATCTTTTTCGCAAACATTTTAATTTCTTTAATAGCTCTTGGAGCCCGCCTTTTAAATCCAACGCCATGAATTCGTTTGTGCAGATGAATTGTGTATTCACGAGTGGCAACGCCCTTCCTAGCTGTCCTTCTTGACTTGTTTCCTGACTGGACCATAATGGAAGTAGCACGCTCTATCTAGGTGCCCGCCAACTTTCAAGTGCAGCGCCGTAAGAGAACTGCTGAGGTCGCACCGCCTATTTAAACACAGAAAACACTTCAAAAACGACGGATAATATCCACTAACTGACCCTCACCCTTCTTTATTATCGTCATTTAGGCATAATCCTTTAGAATTTAGTAAGACACACAAATTAGTCTAACTAACAGTTGTTGTTTCAAATAGCATGGTTTCTCCAGCAGGTTTTCACCAAAACAGCCACTTCCACTTGTTTCTGCAATGGATTATAACCTTTGACCACTACCAAAACAACTGAACCTTCATGTTTAGATAGTGTCTTAAAATGCCTCTTGGATGACATATTATTACTTCTATTCGTTCCTTGAATTCCGAGGGAAATGTTGGGCATCAGTAGTACGTCTCCATTGTATTCTGTCCCTTGCCATCATTCTATCCATGTTTATATACAGGCTTTAAATTCATCACAGGATCTCTTTCGTGTCAGCCTAAGACACCCAACTCGTCCCTTCCCTTCTAAAGTCCATTTGATGGTCTGACTTATGATGTACCTCACAGGCCCCTTGATATTTATCTAGTTGACTCCAATTTCCCTCTGTACACTTGTTTAGTGTAAAGTTGTTTGCTGCTACACTGCAAGAGTATTCTAGAGATGATTTTGCCGGTGCATGAACCAAGTTTCTAAAAACTATAGGAGAACTGACTTGAAATCACTGTTCCTTGTGCAAAATGTTGAGGATCTCCGTCCGGATTTCAGAGTAATGATCACCTCTACTGCTCTGCCAATCCGATTTGGCCTATCTTTCGCATTCTCATTCGTGCCAACTAATGTCAAAAAGATAATGACTGTGGCTCGTTGCTTCTGTGGTATCTTCATCACATCAGCCTTTTTTGCGCTCATGTGAAGTTTTGTCTTTGCTACCGCTTCTGACAACTTGATGCCTTTTACCCATAGACCTTCGTGTTTACGTGACATGTTAAAACCAACGAAATCTAGATCTACGGGGGTCTTCTTATCAGTCCACTTTGCGGCCGTCTTCTTGCTCCCCATTGTCTGTAGCAAGATCTAGTCCACCATATTTCAACAAAGTACTTTCTTCCTAACCCACAAGTACCCACTTCTTCTTACTGCATCCTCTGCAAAAGTGCTGAAAGCGTGTCACCTGGAGTCATTGAGTTCGTTTTCAGTTGGTTTATAATAATAAAGATAATGGCCAGAAATAGTCCATGTTATTTAAAAAAAGATAGAAATCAGCTGACATACTGCGTAACGATTCCCATATCACCTCAATTATCCAGATAGAAATTAATTGGGGTCAAACTGTGTCTATATAGTTGAAGAATGAACGATCGATTCATGGTTGTTTACCCAAACCCAACTCCATATTTTGGCGGGAGTCACTGATACTGCAGTCATCGTTCGCTGTTCGTTAGAAGACGGAGAAATACTATCAGAAGTATTATTGTGATTGATTGTTATGACATTTATTCTTAAACCTTGTGTATAATAACCTTATTGTTGGTTACATATTGGCGCAAGAATAAAGGATTCTCGAGTCGCCAATCCGTGTTCTGGTTTTTCGCGTTGGTTATTACACATTATTGCTAAAAGTTTTCTAAGGACAGCGTTAAGTCCAGTGTAGTTAGACCTGGACATTGACAGTTTCTGATAACTCCTGGAATTATCCGTCGTATTTGTTGGCCATCCGTCTTTCCTGGCGTGTGCAAGTCTTCTTTGAACAAGCGTTATTCGGAACTTCTCTGGATGGCCTGGTAACGTTCAATAATATCTGGGCCAAAGAAAGGACGGGGCGTTTTGGAGGCAGACGACAAAGTAACTCTTAATGATTTGTCTAATGTATGTAATGTTATGTTGGATAATCATGATGTGCCAGCCAGAGAGATGAGTTGCTTAAAGCCGCTGAAGTTCGAGCCCAGGTGCTTTGAAGGGAATCCTGCTGACTTTCCTCACTTTGTGAAAGAAATCGAAGTCATGCTATAGGGTTTGAAACTAAGTGATGAAATAAAACTAATGTACTTGTTGGGGTATTGTGCCGGTGTGGTGAGAGCTGTCTACTAGCCAAGTGGTGGACAGTAATTGAGGTCAATGTTTATGTATCAAATATTAGTCATGTTGTGGTGAGAGATGGTTGCTGGCCAAATTGGTTGACAGTAATTGAGGTCAAAGGTCAAGGTGGACAGGCGATTACAGTTAACATATAGATGAACTGACACAGCCACAAGAGATGCAAGGTTAACTTTGTGTGAGAAACAACCAATCAACAGACTGTATTTTCTACTAACATTGACCTACAATAATGTACATAAAAATCTATAAATACGTGTTGATTTTTCGTAATAAACGATCTGTTGCCTGGCCCTTGTCTTCTTTTGTTACACCGGTAGTGCGGCGAGCGCAATACAGTGTTGCAAGTTTCTGCCCCCTAGGAAGGGATATACGAAGGCTATGCGTATCCTGCGTGAAAGGTTTGGAAGACCTTCGATGGTCGTACAGAATGTATTCGAGGCTGTTAAAGGTAATGGTAGTCAATTACTAGATGACTCCAAGGCACTCACTGAGTTTCTGGATAATCTGATGACCTACAAGAATATGTTGGTATCGATGAATTGCATAAGCGATCTGAACTCGACTTCTGTCTTAGAGGCAATAGAGAGACGCCTACCTACTCGAATGCAAAGGAAATGGGTGAAGATAAGCTCTCGTATAGAGGATGAAGGTTTAGAGCCAGGGTTCGATGATATACTCAGATTAGCGACAGATAATGTCAATCAGACTACGAGTAAATCCGCCAGTACATTGCATCCCACCCCTGGAATAGAGAAGTCAGAGAGCGTAACGCAATCATTTTTGACAAAAGGGTCTCAGAGAAGTGGATATCGAGAGAGCTGTATGGTGTATAATAATCCATACAGCTTTCGTGGGACGTCCCCAACAGATAGGTTACAAGTTGCGAGACAAACAAGGTTGTGTTTTGTCCGTTTGCAAGAAGTGCATACAAAAGCGAACGGTGAAGCAGTGAACAAGTTTAGTGGTAAGCTAAATGGGAAGTCAGCATCATCAAGTTTTGACTCGGCATCGTGTGATGGTGATGGTGCGGTGACGAAGCCTGTAGTTGCAACTGGTAGGCCATTGTTGAATACCGTGTTATAGACGACACCGCACTTTGTGCATAAGAAGAGGGTTACAGTTTTAGAGTCCAGTTCTGACTCCACAAGTTTACAAGGTATTACTAGTCAGAGTAGATGTATAAATCCTTTAAGAATTCATGAGGAAGAATCTAAGTCATCTACTGCTGTTATTAAAGAGGTTGAAAATGATGAAGTCGATCATACAAACGATGGTAAGTGGATATTTGTGACAATGGTCATCATAGTGCACCTTTGTCTTTAGCTGATCATGATGAGACGAAGGGAATGCCTACTACTCTCTGGCGGTACGTTCGAAATTGGTGACATTTTTGCACGTGTTTGCTCTGATATTCTTTTACTGCTTATAGTCATATAATCCTTGAAATTATGGTCCAAATTTCAAAAAAACGTGTTCGTAGAAACACAGTTGTTTTAGATAGTGCCTCAACCTCGGTTATAACTGCATTACCACCCCGTAATACGGCATTAACTACTAGCTCACAAATGGCTTCAGTGCAATTCTCACTCCTGTGATACAGGTGAAAGATGTTCTGTTAGAGAACTCTGAGATCTGTAAATTAGACCTCCTTGTGAAAGATATCCAAAGGCAAGTAAATGAACTTCAGGAAAAATTAGGTCAGTTTGATAGAATGTCACTGCCAATGTCAAATATCACGGAGAGCAGTTCTGATATTGGCCAGGTTAAGTCTTTACTGGATGCAACTCAAAGCAAGCTTTCGGATTTAGACCCAATAGCCTGTATGTTAAGAAAGCATCCTAAAATGTCTCCAGACACCCTAAATAAGGCCAAAAATCTGATTGACTGCTTGGCTGCGGAGGTGATGAAGCGTATAACCTCTTCTCACCAGGCTATAGTTTACAATGTACCAGATTCTCTTCCTCTGAAGACTGTTAAACACAAAATCCTGATTTGTTGCGGCATGGCCAGTGTTCCATGTGAATGCAAAAGACTTCGTAAAAATTCTAACCAGGCTAACTGTCCCATTATTTTTAAGTTCAGTAATTCCCTTGATTCTAGTAAGTTTATTAAATGTCAGGATCACCTAAGACTGAACAGTAGTTATAAGTCTATAACCATAGCTCAGGATAAAACACCTTGTCAGCGCAGAATAATGCGTAGTAATAACCTGGCCACCTCCTCTAGCTTAGAATTGCCCAAAAACGATCGCGCACAGCAACAGTCACCTAATGCTGACACTAGCATTCGGCAAACCACACAACAACCACGCATGGCAATGGAACTAGGAACTGATTTAGATACCAGTACCCCTGTAAGTAACGTCTCACCGAAAGATGTAAAAATAGGTAGGACTGCTGCAAGCTGTTCTAAGAAATTCTTACCCAAACGTGGTGACCTCACCACGATGAACAAATTTCGCCGGGTTGAGACTAATGATGGGGAAGAATACTTTGTATTCAATAAGCTTTCTGAAAGTAAGACTGTCCAAAAACCTTCACCTCTTACGAAAAGTTCCTCTCGAAACACAAGTATATCTGGTGGTTTTCAGTATGCTCCACCTTATAGAAAGTCAGGCCCCAAAACCCCCAAAGTCTTACAACCAAAGCACCTTCCCTCTCATTTTCCTTTAAGTTATAAAACCAACACGAAAGTGTGTACCGGTATGATGGATAGCACGTGGATGGGTAGACCATTTGATGCTATGCTTTGTAACCGTCAACCCAGGCCCAACATCTACTATCCTTATATCCAGGAACACATGGTAAATTTTCCAAATGTCCCGAATCACTGGCACGACCCATGGCACCTAGGACCACCTCACTGCACTCTAACCCCGATGTACAGACACCCATTCCGACTCCCGTATCATTCATAAACTCTTGCGTTGTAGACGCACAAAAAAAATTAGGTTATGGTG